ACACACACACACACACACACGCACGCGTACGCGCACGCATGCACACACGCACGCACACACCCACGCACACACTAACAAACACACGCACACACACACGCACTCACATACGTATGCGCGCAGGCACACACCCAATCACACACTAACACACACACACACACACACACGCACACACACACACACACACACACGTGACACACACACCCATACACACACACACACACACACACGCACGCGTACGCGCACGCATGCACACACGCACGCACATACGCATGCGCGCAGGCACACACCCAAGCACACACTAACACACACTAATAGGACGCATGAGAACTGTGAGCTTCCTGAGCAATGGTCCATCCTGAACATAATTCCCATACCAAAAGCTGGCGATCTCAGAAACAAGGACAACTAGACAGAGGGCACTCACGGAGAGTGCATACCTCCGCCAGCATGTAACATGTATGTGTATAACAGCTGGCTCGCTGCTGGCTGCTGCTGACTGGACGCCCTAAGGCGAGCTGCTGTTGACTGGACGCCCTAAGGCTGCTGCTGAATCGATCGCACTAAGGCGAGCTGCTGCTGAATCGATCGTGCGAACACTAGTGGCTACACACACACACGAACACACACACGAACATACACACGAGACCGATTACATTACCTCCTTGGCGGAGGTAACTACAGGGGAATTATCTTGAGCTCAGTGGTTGCGAAAGTTTACAACAGAATGATTCTGAATAGGATTAGACCATCTTTAGACCCTCTTTTAAGACTCAACCAGAATGGATTTAGGGAAGGAAGGTCAACAACTGCACAAGTTGTCAACAAACTCACACTCATTGAGGGCGCAAAAAAGAAGAACCTGCCCGCAGTCTTAACGTTTGTTAACATCAGAAAGGCCTTTGATTCCATTCACAGAGGCAACCTCATGAAAATTCTGCTGGCATATGGAATACCACTTAAAATAGTGCAGTCAATAAGCGATATGTACGCTAAAACCTCGGCAAAAGTCCTCTCACCGGACGGCGAAACAGACATGCTTAATATAGAAGTAGGTGTCCTCCAAGGTGACACCTTAGCCCCTTACCTGTTTGTGATAGCCCTTGACTATGCTTTACGCAAAGCAATAAATGGTCGCGAGGAAGAGCTCGGGTTTACTATCTACCCAAGACGGAGCAGGCGAGTCGGCCCTGTCATAATAACGGATCTTGACTTTGCTGACGATATTGCACTATCAAGTGACTCGGTGAACCAAGCTCAAGAATTGCTATGTGGTGTGGAGACTCAATGCAGAAAGCTTGGACTATCCTTGAATACTAAAAAAGACCGAGGTAGTACCCTTTAACATCCCGGATAACATAGAGCTGACTACTCTTGATGGTGAAATATTAGCTGTCAAGGACGAGTTCAAGTACCTAGGCTCGTATATCAGCTCGTCAGGTAAAGATATTGCCGTGAGAAAGGCTCAGGCTTGGCGTGCGCTCCGCAAGCTGAACAACATCTGGAACTCAAATATGGCGGAAGGGCTAAAAAAGCATATCTTCGTGGCCTCGGTAGAATCAATTCTCACCTACGAATGCGAGGCCTGGACATTAACAGTACGAGACGAGACCAGACTCGATGAATGCTACACGAGTATGCTCCGAAAAGTATGCGATGTCACCTGGCAGGATCGTGTTCCGAATGAGGTGCTTTATGGGGAACTACCACCGCTCTCCTCTAAGATACGATCGAGAAGATTGAGTTTGGCGGGGGGTGTCACGGTCTGAGATTACCCCCAGTCTGAAATTACCCTAGCACCTCTTGCGCATGCGTGACGCATGGTTGTAGCGCTGGATAATGAGACTGCGCGGCCAGCAGATCTGAATTAGTCTGGAGTAGGAGGGTACATTCGGACTGCGGCGTAATCTCAGACGGTTCACGGTCTGGAGATTACCCCCAGTCTGAATTACCCTGCAATTATATCCTGTGTGCCCATTAGGTGGAGTAAATGTCAGACTGGGGTATCTCAGACCGGTGTGCGTCTGCAGATTACCCCCGAGTCGCTGAAATTACCCTGCAATTATATTTCCTGTGGTGCCAATGTAGGTGGGGTAAATTCAGACTGGGTAATCTCGAACCGGTGTCACGCGTCTGAGCATTACCCCGTCTGCAAATTACCCCTGCAACCAAGTTATATCTGTGTGCCCATAAGTGGCGTAAAATTCAGCTGGGGTAATGCAGCCGGTGTCATTGTCTGCAGATTACGCCCCAGTCTGGAAATTACCCCTGCTAAATTATATTCTGTGTGCCATAGGTGGGTAAATTCAGACTGGGGGGTAATCTCAGAGCGTGTCACCGGTCTGAGCATTACCCCCAGCTCTGAAATTTACCCATGCAAAATTTATCCTGTTGTGTCCATAGGTGCTGTAATTCAGCGACTTGGGGTAATCTCAGGACCGGTCTGGAATTGTTCGCGCACCATTATATGCTTAACCCGGCTGCCATAAGGAGGGTTTAGGGGAAGGAGGAGGAGGAGGAGGAGGGAGAAGGTGATGGAGGAGGAGGCAGGAGGAGGAGGAGAGGTGAAAGTTAGTAGGGAGTAGAGGGGAAAGGTGATGGAAGGAAAGAGGAGGAGGAGGAGAAGGTGATGGAGGAGGAGGAGGAGGAAGGAGAGGAGAGGTGATGTTTTAGAAGAGCGGAGGAGAGCAGAAGGAGGCCGAGAAGGTGATGGCAGGAGGAGGAGGAGGAGGAGGAGGGGAGGAGGAGGAGGGAGGAGCGAGGGAGGAGGAGGAGGGAAGAAGCGGTGATGGAGGCAGGAGCGGAGGAGGAGGAGGAGGAGGAGGCAGGAGGAGCGAGGACGAGAACTGGATGGAGCTTAGCGGCGGAGGAGGCAGGGGAGAGGATGATTACGAGGAGGGCGGCGGGGATGGCGGAGCGGGAGGTGATGGAGTAGGGGGAAGTGAGGGGAGAAGGTGATGGAGGAGGAGGAGGAGCGCAGGAAAGAGTGGAGGTGCATGAGGAGGAGGAGGAGGCAGAGAGAGAGGTGATGGAGTAGGGGGGAGGCGGAGGAGGGAGAGGTGAGGAGTAGGGGGTGGAGGAGGAGGCGAGAGGAGGGAGGGCAGGAAGGAGAAAGGAGAAGGGTGATGGAGGAGGGCACGAGTAGAGGAGAGAAAGGTGATGGAAGTAGGAAGGAAGAGCTAGGATGGAGAGGAGAGGGGAAGAAGGAGGAGTGTGAGAGTGATGAGGATGGAGGGGGGCGGGAGAAGGTGATGGATGAGGAGTAGGAGACAGGAGGAGGAGGAGCAAGGTGAATGCGAGTAGGGAGAAGGAGCGGGAGAGCTGGTAGGAAGCGAGCGGGAGAGGGAGAAGTCTGCGTGGAGATAGGAGGAGAAAGCTGTGGAGAGGAGGAAGACTACGACCAGCTTTCTCTCCCTCCTCTTCTCCACCACGCTTCTTCCTTTCTCCCCTTCCTTCCTTCTCACCAGCTTCTTCCCTTCCTCCTCTCCACCACCTTTTCCCTTCTCCCTCCCTCCTTCTCCAACAGCTTCTGCCAATCCCCTTTCCTCATTCTAGCAGTATCTGAGTCGTATACGGTCCGTCGTGCGTATAGCCATATGGAATCGTGCCCCACAACGGTGGCTAATTGTGACGGTGGCAGTCTCATGAATTAACCAATGCTATTTTGCTACTGCGCTTTACAGCCCAGCACTCCGTGCGACATGCGTGCGCATGCGCAGTAAGCGCTAGGGTTAATTTCAGACTGGAGCGGTAATCTCAGACGTGACAGGGGCACTGTGTTCCGACACAATAATGCTATGCCGCGCACGACTTGGTTCTCTTGGGAACCCTCACAGGTTCGGGCTTCTCGCGGCGGCCTGGCGACTGACCAACATCGACAACTCAAGAACGCGAGTACTGGCCTGCAGGTCAAGCGATGAATTCGTGTCAATTATTGCTGCACAAAGACCATTCCTGGCAATGCCATCACCATTCTTCCGCGAGGAGACTCGACCTGATTAATCTGATTGTGGCAACACACACGCACACGCACGCTGCCACACGCACCACACACCATAGACACACCACACTAACATAGACACACACGCCACGCACGCAGCGCACGCACGCACGCACTCACGCACGCCCACGCACGCCGCACGCACGCACGCACACGCACGCACACACACACACACACTCACACACACATGCACGCACACACTCACCCGCAGTGCTTCATGTTCTGTGGTTTGTCCATCTTGACAGCAATCTTGATTCTCAGGTCCTGGTCAGCTGCATTCTTCGGCACATGCATCTTGTGCCAGCCAGGCACCTTGGGGTCCATCGGGTTCGGGCGGATCACCACCTGGAAGCGATGGGGGTGCGTGACGTGAGAATAACGGAATAACACATCACATACCCATGACAATGACAACGACGATGCAGATGATGACGATAGAGATGATGATGATGATAATAGTAATGAGATAATAATGATGATGATAGCAGTGACGATGGGCGATGATGATGGCAATGATGTGTCAAGCAGTATTACCAGAACGTTTTTATTCTAAATCAACTAAACGAAAACATGAATCAAGTAAAACCAACACCTTAAAGATTCGCACGAGACCATGTCGGTAGACAGACGTGTACACAGCAAATGGCAGGGATTGGGGGGAGGGGAGGATGACAGAAGGTGCTGGGGGAAAGAGGAGACGACAGAGGGCGCCGCTACCTTTCGAGCTCCTTGTCGTCGATGCTGAGACGCTCGAGCTCTCTGTGTAGAGCTTCACCTTCACGTTGGGCAGCGGGTGTGTCGTCGTGAAGTCTCCTTGCGTGTCCCAGCTACAGCAGACAGAGGGCGCCGTAAGCACCGCACCAACGCACACACAGAGGGCGGCCGGTGAGCACCGCCGCCACATGCAACACAGAGGAGTGCTGTGAGCACCGCCCGCCACGCACACACATGAGGGGCGAGGGTGGGCTCCCGAATGAGTACCGCTGCAACGCACCACATGGAGGGCGCCGTTGAGCACCGCGCGCAACGCACACACAGAGGCGGCACGTGGAGCACCGCCCAACTGTACACAACAGATGGGCGGCCTTGACGCCCGCGGCCAACGCACACACGAGAGGCGCCAGTTGAGCACCGCCCACCATGCACACACACGAGGCGCGCTGTGAGCACTGCACGCCACACACAGAGGGCGCCGTGAGCACCGCGCCAACGCACACACAGAGGGCGCCGTGAGCACCGCGCCAACGCACACACAGACAGCAGGGGCCGGATTCATCAACGTTGCGTAAAGTGTATTGCGTACACCGAGTGTTCTACGAAGGTACGTACGCAAAGTCGTAGGTGCGCTTCATCACGCAGCGTTGAGCACCTGCGTACGCAAATTGTTGATGAATTCAGTGTAAATCCACTACGTCCATCGTGCGTGTGGCTGTTGAGAGGCGCTGCCTAGATTAAACCAATCAACTGTGCGCATATCGGATAAGAACAGAATTGACGCCGCTTCTGTATTTAAACATTATGCTAGCTCTGTCTGTACATGAGTGCTGGGGGATGTGATAGTGTCCACATTTTCGTTTGTATGATTTGCTTTCAACACTCGATGAAAGCACGCGACACTTACACGTGCGTGCGTGCGTGATTATCGTCACGTGCGTGCCGTGCCGTCGTGCGTGTGCACGTAGCACGTGCCTGTGCGTGCAGTCGTGACGTCGCGCAGTGCTGTGTCGTCAACGGGTGCATGTGCACTGTCGGGTGCGTATGGTGGCACCGTACACGTGCGTGCCTGCGTGTGTACGTACACGTGTGTGCTGTCGCGGTGTGACGCTACACGTGCGTGCGGGTGCGTGTGTACGTACACGTGCGGTCCGTGCGTGGCGTGTGTGTGTGGCGTGTCACGTACATCGATGTGTGGTGCGACGAGGCGGTCTGCTGTGACTTACGTACACGGCGTGCTGCGTGCTGCCGTGGTGTGGCAACGTACACGTGCGTCCGTACGTACACTGTGCGTGCGTGCGTGCATGTGCACGTGTGGTGCGTGTGTATGCACGTACAACGGTGCGTGCGTGGTGCGCACGTAACGTGGTGCTGTGCGTTTTGTACGATTTACCACTGCCTCCGCGCGCGTACGTGCTCGTGGTGATGTGCACGTGCGGGCGGTGTGTGTGCACGTACACGTACGGACTGCGGTGTGCCAGCGTACACGTGCGGAGTGCGCTGTTGCGTGTGTACGTACACGGGGTGCGTCGCGTGTGCACATACACGTCGCGTGTGCGTGCTTGTGACGTCATGCGTGCGTCCGCTGTGTTGCACGTAACACGTGCTGTGCATGGGCGTGCCGTGCGGTTTGTACATACTCCGTGGGCGTTCTAGCGTACGCTGCGTGGCTGCATGTGCCCGTGCGTCGCGTGCGTGCTGCACGTACAGTATGTGCGTGTGCACGTACACGTGCGTGCGTCGCGTACGTCACGGGGCGTGGTGCGTGTGACGTACCGTGCTGTGCGTTTGCACGTACACGGCTAACTACGAAATCGCTTTATAACGAAAACAATGCCAAGCTATGACAAAGAAGCGTCAAAGGCGCCGCCTTGTCTGTGTAGTATGGTAATTATTTATTTATTTTAGTTGGAGTAGTAATTTTAATAATGTTTCTCAATAAAATAATGTATGCTGCCGGTATGTTGGAAACACCTGCGGAAATTTCGAGTGGTTACGGCACCTCGTCCGTCGTGTAAGTTACGCAAAGGTTTACGCTAATTTTAGCTTGATGATCGCACCTAAAACGCCTCGCTTGCGTACGCGAAATCGTACGCAAATTTACTAAATATACTGTGTTGATGAAATTCGCAACTTAAGACAACGGTCGTTGCGGTACACATATTACGCGCAAAATATTTTGCGTACGCAGCTTGATGAATCTACCCCCTGGTGCGTGAGAATCACATAAATGCACATACATAATACCAAGAGCAGATAATACACATGTGTATTATCTGCTCTTGATAATACTAATAACCTTATTGTGATGAGTTTATCAAACGCATAAATAATAACTATAATAATAATAATAATAATAACTAGTCAGAGGGCACTCACGAAGAGTGCATACCTCCGACAGCGACATGTATAGCTCGTAGCAGCCGCTCATTGCTGCTGCTCGCTCACATGTACACGCTTGACTCGACGCGCTAATATCGATCGCGCCAACACACTAACACAGGAAGGACATTAGGAACCGGCCACCGGCCGAATTGACCACCTACTCTGCTGTTTCAGCCGGTTACAATTGGCTCAAGTATATTTAAAAAAAATAAAAAATATTGTATGCATGTTATGTGCACAAGAAGCATTGTTTTGTTTTTGAGTAACGCTATTTACGTACTTAATTGTCTAACTCTTATAATTACTAAAAGCGTCATGATTTGGAAACTTTTGGTGAACTCTGAATGTATCAGGAGAAACCAAATTGGAAAAAAGCACAATACTGTAATCCAAATATGTCTGTTTACTGCATCTAGGTTTGAAAAAAAAATTGGGGGGGGGCACCCACAAACCCCCCACCCGCACTCCTCCACGGCCTGTTGCAAAAGCATTTCGGCCTGTTACTATAAACGATAATGAAAACCCTGTAACACTGACTGGCCTGCTGCTGGCTACACGAACACACTGACACACGAACGCACGGGGCCGATCACATAACCTCCCCTCCAACTCCGTTAGGCGGAGGTAATTATTATTATTATTATTATAACAACACTGACAAGGGCAACACAGAATAATGTCGCACATAGGTGGCGCCACCGCTGCACTCACCATGGTTTCGAAGCCTCGGCCTGGTCCGTCTGAAGCTTCTCTCCTCCGTCGACCTCCATCGTGCAGTAGACAATGCGGTTCGGTGCCAGCGACTTTAACCCCTTCACCTCCATGACGACCACCTGCAACCACACACACACACAGGCGCGCACGGTCAGGCATCGTTGTACGTCACGCGCAAACACACACGCACACGCGCACATCGTGGTTGCTGTCTATCAACAACTATAGCCAATCTAGAACTCTACTGTACACAAGTCACACACACACGCACGCGATCGCACGATAATCTAGCTTCTCGCGAATGGAACGACGCAGTAGCTGTAGCTCGGTGGCCATCAACAAATTGAGCGAGGCCTAAAGATGACCTAACGAGGCAACGGTGACCTAACTGATGTATGTTTTACTGGCTGCCACTCCCCTCCCCTCTTTCCCCGCACATGTTCCTTCCCGGTACCTCAATCAATTACCTGACGTAACACTACTTAAAGAAGACACTCTCATTTTGCAAAGAGATTGACTTCCCTGACATCTTGGGCTCTCCTCATCACTACAACAAATATCAAGAGTCCATAATAGAACATGTTCTATTATGGAGTCTTGATATATATATATACAGGGTTCTGCCCAGGATTTTTTAGTGCCGGGCGCATCCAGGTCGCAAGATGCAAGCGCCATAGGCTCGAAGCCAATCTAGGGGGATCCGGGGCATGCCCCCCAGAAAATTCTTGATTTTGGATAGTCTGAAACTGAATTTCCTGCATTCTGACCAATAAAAAGCCTTGTAAAATATAAATAAAATTAAAAATATATCAAACCTTTTTTTTTTAATAAAAAATTTGTGCCGGGCAGAGATATATAATGGCGGGCGGCAACCGCGAGTTCCGGGCACACCCGCCCACCGCCGCCCACCGTGGGCAGAACCCTGATATAGTACACAAACACACATGTGCGCACACACACACACACACCCGCACACATATATACACAAAGGACGAATTTCTAAAATTGTGACAATGGGAAGTGTGACGCGGCGTGTAAAGTTTCATCGCACGATGCACGGCTCATTCACACATGTCGCGAGCCACGGGAAAGCATACACGCACTAAACTAGCACTAACAACCGAATGCTCGTTAACCGCTGCTGTATATTGAGACCCCCCACCTGCTCGTTTGACGCTCTCCCGAAAACAACGCCGCGATGACGGGCAATCATGCGCAGACGCCACTGGTTGTCACAAGTAATTAAAGCGGAAACCACGACGACAGCAGCGACGAGGAATTGAAATCCGACCGGGGTGCGGCATGTTCCGACCGTCGCCACGGCAACCAACGCTCCACGCAGAAGGCGGTGGCGGAGCAATGCGCGGATCGGCGGGAAACCGTCGCAGCAGTGACGGCGATGGAGGACAGCAGGGGGCGCCACCGACCTCAAGTGTGAAGGAGAGCACGACATCTAGCTTGGTGAGCTGGGCTTCAGTCTCCTCCTGCGAGTCACTGCCACGGCTCGACTGAAAGCCGACGTTCTGCGCCCTGCAAAACACAAGAACGTCCATCATCGTCGGTCAGACATGACACAATGGGGAGCCACCAGTCAAAAATTTAGCAGACAGTTACGAAGAAACTGCGAGCTGTCGCCCAGGTTATCGTATGATCTCGCAAATGCAGGCGATGACGGGTGAATGATGCATTCATACAGAGATGCAGGGAAATTAATGACTAATCTACTTTTAATTACGTTTACAATCTGTCTGCTGATCATAAGCATGCTCTGCTTGATGAATCAGGACAAATTGCTTGCTGACCACAGCAATGATCCATTAGGACAAATTGACCGCTGGTTATAAGCATATTCTATGCAACCGTTCAAGACAAATTCACCACTGACCACGTCAATGGTCATTCAGCAATCACGATTCGATCATCGAGGCCTTTAAGAGAAAATGACCACTCATCATAACCATGTTGAACTCTACGCTACTTGATTGTTTTTAACCACATGACGAATGCATACACGCACGCACGCACACACACCTGTGGTACTTCTTCAGCCTCTGCTGCAGCGAGTACTTTGAGTCGGTGTTGCCCTTGGAGACGGGCAGAGACTCGAGGTTGGCCATCAGCAGGTTGATGGACGTGCGCACCTCCTCTATGTACAGGCTCTCCATCTCCTTCTGCAGCACGAACTTTGGCATCAGCTTCCGGTTCTGTGGGAGAGAAAAACAGAGAGGATCGCATCACACACCCAAGTCTAACATACGCGTACGCGTAGTTATTAAGTTGGTACAGAGAGAGAGAAGGTCATGTCACGCACGAGTCTAACAGTGGTTCTAACACGAGCACACGCATAGTTGTTAAGTAGTTGGTAGAGAAAGAGAGGGTTATTTTACCAGTGGTTCTAACACGAGCACACGCATAGTTGTTAAGTAGTTGGTAGAGATAGGGTGAACGAGAAGTCGAGAGAAGTAACTATAAAAGAAGGAATATGTGCATCCGTGCCTGTCTGTCTGTCGTTTGTGACGTACGTGTGGTTGTCTCTCCGCGTGTGTACTGCGCAGGCGTATGCACATCTCTGTCTGCATTCCTCCCTCCCTCCGTCCCTCCCTCCTTTCTCTCCTTTTCCTTCCTCCTCCCCTCTCACCCCTTCATTTCATCGTGGACAAACACGTGCGTACTGCAGTCCACGTCCATACGGAAGATCAGGCGGCGGGCAACAGCCGAGTGAGCTGTGTAAATGGAGCTACGCTATATCCTCATTATTATAGTCATCTCTTAATCGGCCACAAGATGGCTTAAAAAGACTTTCATACACCCGGACCTTAAATACTTACGCAGTTGTAAAAATGTGGTTTGTAGGTGTCGTCAATCGTTGTTGTCATTCTAATATAATTGGAATGCGATATAAAGGGTTGCAGGGAGTTGCAAAGAGCTCAGAGTTCAAGGAGCTGGATGTCAGAGATCTGGTATTGCTTGTAGCGTCTAAGAACATTATGTATAGTGTTTTCTCGTTAGTGTTTGTATACAATGCTGTTTAGCCCTGCTATAATAGAAATAACAGTCAGCATCCCTGCGCAGTGTAGATGCGACTTAAGCACAAGGCCTGAGAGAAACGAGTTTTACGGCAATGCTTGTGGGCGTGGTGTGCAGCTGTTGTTGTAATTATTTAGGGGAAGCGACCAGCGTGTGTCCTGGTGTCAGGAGATCAGACCAGTTACCTAGGTGTCTGGAGATCAGACCGGTTACCCCGGGTGACTGGATATTTCACCGGTTTTATCAACACAGCAAGTATATAACCACACCACTGAAGTTTACAACATCAGTCTGCTTCGAGAACACCATTCGTACGTTCAGTGACTTCATTGGGTAAGCTAATGATATTTATCTTAATTCCATTGAATTATTTTCGTGATGTGAAATGTTCTTGACGTCACAGTCGTAAAATAGCGCGTGATGTATATATGATATTGATTCGATTTACAGAATAAACAGTTATTATGAACTTAAATAAAATACGCGGCCTTCGTTGTAAAGATGTTTGTATTCTCTTTTATCTTTACTAATTTGTAGGAGAACCTATATAGACCTCGATTCTACGCGTGTGACGAGGCCGTCTTCGAAGCAAAACACGTGATCGCAGCTTGAGCACCAGACAGGGGAAAAATCACGCGTGTGACCAGTAACTGGCAGCCTTCCCTGAAGCACGATGGAATACGTGACAATTCATTCCGGGAAAAACCCATATAAGTGCGATCTGTGTGATGCTGCCTTCTCCTGTCTGAGTGCTGTGAAGATACACATGAGAACGCACACGGGAGAGAAACCGTATAAGTGCGATTTGTGTGATGCTGCCTTCTCTCGTCTGAGTAATGTGAAGACACACATGAGAACTCACACGGGAGGGAAACCGTATAAGTGCGAATTGTGTGATGCTACCTTCACAGAATCGGGTGCTGTGAAGAAACACATGAGAACGCACACGGGGGAGAAACCATATAAGTGCGATCTGTGTGATGCTGCCTTCTCTTGTCTGAGTGCTGTGAAGAAACACATGAGAACGCACACGGGGGAGAAACCATATAAGTGCGATCTGTGTGATGCTGCTTTTTCACAATTGAGTAATGTGAAGAGACACATGAGAACTCACACGCGAGAGAAACCATATAAGTGCGATCTGTGTGAAGCTACCTTCTCGGAGTCGGGTCATATTAAGAGACACATGAGAACTCACACGGGAGAGAAACCGTATAAGTGCGATCTGTGTGAGGCCGCATTCTCATGTCTGAGTAATGTGAAGACACACATAAGAACTCACACGGGAGAGAAACCGTATAAGTGCGATCTGTGTGATGCTGCATTCTCACAATCGAGTGATGTAAAGAAACACTTGAGAACTCACACGGGAGAGAAACCGTATAAGTGCGATTTGTGTGATGCTGCCTTCTCCCGTCTGAGTTGTGTGAAGAGACATATAAGAACGCACGTGGGAGAGAAACCAAAGAAGAAAAAGACGAAGGGAAAAATTATTTAAATGTAACATAAAAACATTTAAAGTGAAGATTACGCTCTGAAGACACTCTATAACCACACACGACAATGTATAATAATTCTAGAGTGATGTCGTACAGATGTGAGCAGAAAGTATATCTCGAACTGTCAGGCTCACATGTAAGAGCAGCTTGGCTCGGTGCAAACGCGAGCACACAGTACACATGTGAACTGGAGCAGTGTGGAATCCCAACGAATGCAACTTGCATAGTTGTTAAGTAGTTGGTAGAGAAAGAGAGGGTTATTTTACCAGTGGTTCTAACACGAGCACACGCATAGTTGTTAAGTAGTTGGTAGAGAGAGAGAGGGCCATTTTACCAGTGGTTCTAACACGAGCACACACATAGTGGTCAAGTAGTTGGTAGAGAGAGAGGGTCATTTTACCAGTGGTTCTAACACGAGCACACGCATAGTTGTTAAGTAGTTGGTAGAGAAAGAGAGGGCCATTTTACCAGTGGTTCTAACACGAGCACACGCGTAGTTGTTAAAAGTAGTTGGTAGAGAGAGAGGGTCATTTTACTAGTGGTTCGATCTAACACGAGCACACGCATAGTTGTTAAGTAAAAGCGAGTTAAAGCAAGCATTCATGATATAGTTTTCCTAGTCTTTATATAATTATATATTTATGTATTAGCCTTTATAAATTATGGATCACCCACAAAGTTTCAAACAAAGTCATGTGATTTTGAAAATGGGTTAAATTTTTTAGTAAGCGCGCTACCCTGCTAGACTAAAAAGGAGTGCCCGGGAAGTAAGCGGGTCGGCGGCAAAACCAAAAGCCAAACAACTCGCTCACTCGCCGGGTCTCTTTAACGCAAGTTACTTTTGTGCTTCGATGGAAACCCTGGAAGCTAATGTAGTGGAACAATGAGATGCAGAGCTACTACATTACCCCGGCCTCCTGATGTCACGGCACTTACCTTTGTAAGCGCTTCGAGCGAAACCAAGCGACCATCCAGTTCTCGTCTGATGGCGGCTGCCTGCTCGTCTGCATTGTCCAGCTGCGGGCAAAAATAGAGTATCCGATTTAGAGGTCAGTGAAAATAGAGGATACGATTTAGAGGTGGGCGAGAACAGGGGATCTGATTTAGAGACCTGTGGGAGAACATATATAGCATACGATTTAGAGGATGGTGAGAATAGGGGATATGAATTAGAGATGGCTTATTCATTAACCAATGCTCTTCAGTGTACTATATGTTCAATGTACTATATGTTAACTCGATGCCACTGGTCCACCCCAAGGATCAACGCTAGTGTTCACAAGGTGGGTTCATTGAGGATGTTCACTAGGGCAGGATGTTTTGCTAATAGTGAGTGATCGCAAGTGGCACTCACTATGGATGTTCACTGCAGTGACTGCACATTCACGAGAGCATTTTTGGTGAGAGCAAGTAACAATGGGGGCGTTCACTAGGGGTATTCAGGTGTGTTCACTCGGTGGTCTTCGGAATGATTTCTACTAAGCACGCATGATATTCATGGTGATGTGTTCACATGTTTATTTACACATCGCCCCCTATGCAGATTGCCTGATCTTCATCGACCCTGCATCGCATATACATGCACGCCTTCCTCCATCCTGACCCACATCTTCCAACTGATATCATCAATATACAGAGCTCTTTCTCCCCTTTGCACCTCATCCCTATGCAATCCCCCCTCCCCTTGGTACACAGTAGTGATGGGAATCGGTTGGAATTTCATCATTGATCATCACCCAACCGATCGATGATCAAAGATAATCGGTTGACTGTTATTGATCGTGGCTCATATATATAATAAGTACAGTATTTAATTATAAAATTTGTGTAATTTATTTTGACAATCGATTATTTATTTTCATAGTCGAGCGCTTAGTCGGTTGCTGCAAACAACTGACTTTCGATTATAATCGATCATCGGGACATCACTAGTACACTAAGTCATAGATGCAAATTGAAGCAATCTGTGGTTTCTGGCCATCAAATTAGTAGTTCGAGGGTCACGTAGTAACCCGAGTTTGCTAGGGGGGTCCGGCATGCCACCCGGAAAATTGTTTGATTCTGAGATGCAATTTCCTGCATTCTGAGGGTCAAAAATTGATCGCAGCTTGAGCGCCAGACAGGGGAGAAATCTCACGCGTGTGACCAGTACGTGGCAGCCTTCCCTGAAGCACGATGGAATACGTGACAATTCATTCCGGGGAAAAACCATATAAGTGCGATCTGTGTGATGCTGCCTTCTCCTGTCTGAGTCACGTGAAGATACACATGAGAACGCACACGGGAGAGAAACCATATAAGTGCGATTTGTGTGATGCTACTTTCACACAATCGAGTGCTGTGAAGACACACATGAAAACTCACACGGGAGATAAACCGTATAAGTGCGAACTGTGTGATGCTACCTTCTCACGTTTGAGTCATGTAAAATCACACATGAGAACTCACACGGGAGAAAAACCGTATAAGTGCGATCTGTGTGATGCTACCTTTACAGAATCGGGTGCTGTGAAGACACATATGAGAACTCACACGGGAGAGAAACCGTATAAGTGCGATATATGTGATGCTGCCTTCTCGCATTCGTGTTCTGTGAAGAAACACATGAGAACTCACACGGGAGAGAAACCATATAAGTGCGATCTGTGTGATGCTGCCATCTCACGTTTGAGTCATGT